TTTGCTTAGAAAGTTCTCCACGAGGCACCCTTACCCTTAGGCAAATAACAGTCGAATGCTTTGCTATAATCAAAGAAACCAGACCAAACAATAGATATAAGTAGCTTAAAAACTGCTATATTTTACGTATACTTATCAAGTAATATTTCAATATATATAATGATTAAAAGAAAGGAAAAGTAGGATCCTAACTGATTGTATATAATGTAATTCCTATGAAGGCCCTAACAATTCTTTCTCACTTAAAGTCGTAACCCAAAAAGAGAACAAATTAAACTTCAGATACGTATACAATACTGAATCTAATACAAAAAATACAAAATATAAAAATAAATTATATATGTACGAAACCTAACTAACCATTTATATTGATATTACGTAAATATACGTATGGTAATGAACATTGTATAATAAAGATATTTTATACCTTGTTCTATATATGGTTCCATTTATATATACCTATACATAGATATATATAATTTAAGGATTTCATTTAAGGATTATAGTAGTAGTTAATACTACTACATATAAAACACAAAAGTGCATCAATAATGTATCTTTCAGTATTATTTAACTTCCTTCTTAAGAATTTTCGGCAGTCTAGTTTGCGTTATTTTATTCATAAGTCTCAAATAAAAACAATTATTGGTTATATGTCATTAGAAAATTAACCAAAAAGCAGCGACCACAATGTAATTGAGAAACAGTCCTTAGCCGTGAAAAGGTTGAAAGCCATTCGGTTATGACTATTATCTCACATACTCAGCTACTTCGCATACATGGAACATAGCATTCGAAATGAAAAACTCAATATTTACTACAAATTCATTCGTGTAACAAATATCTGTCTTTCTACACCTATGGCTTTAAAAAAAGATGCTATTTATCTTACAGTTTATCATTAAGTAATACATTTTCATTGTACAAAACTGCATTCATTCGAAGAATTCAATTTGTATTTTCCTCTGTATAAAACTGAATGTGGAGAAGTTAGATGTTTAAACGACCCCCAAGACCCCGAGCAAGATTACTCCCTACTTTTCAGCCCCCCTGTGAAAAAAGGGATTCTAAATTTACGACCTGACCGCATATAAGGGTATTTCCTCCAAACAGTGTCATTTCGTTCGCTGCCTTCCCCCACCAATTCCCTCTTTTCCGTTTTATCCGCTGTTTGAAAATTAGGTGTTTACTTTACGATAAGACGAACGTCTGCTTACTTCAATTAAAATGGTTTAGAAGAGATGACTGTTTCTACTTCGACTTAGCTTTTGATTTCTAATACTATTTATTATTTTATGCAGACGAATTTTGCTGAGCGGAAGAATGAATTTCAGACGTGTTCAGAAGGTGTTGTGTCTAAATATAACAACATTTTTGTTATATAGTATCCATTTTTTTAATTTCACACATTTTCTAAAGCAACAGAACCACGGTATCACTATTTTGGCACACACACACCAAAAACATGTATCATTCTTTATTAAAAGCAATGAGTCCTCTTTAAATGCAACCATTCATGCTTTTTAGAGGATTTTACATGTCGTGGTCTTAAAAAGGTGATGTTCACTACCAATGTTTGTTTATGTTCTCAAAAATACAGATTTCTTAGAAAGTGACCTCTTAGAGATGTCGTAATTAGATGATTTGCTATAATTATTTTCTAATAGATAACGGAATTAATGTAATTTAATGTCAATAACTCGAAGAAGCAAGTTTAAATACGGTGCAACAAAAATACAGAAGTATTTTAAATGACGAAAATATTCATATTTTGTCAAATTCAAATTTTAAAAAGAATTAATTTTGAACAAATTATGAAATCTAACTTTTAATGTTGTCTTCTGGTTCCTGTATTTATAGCTGGCAAAGTTTTATACTCGTTATGAAAAAATAAAAATACAAGAAGTTTGAGTCCCGTGGACGGAGATTGACCGGGAAATTTAATTTCAAAATTTGCAGTGTTTGATGCCATTTGTAACTTGCCTTCGGGTATCGCTTAATTAAGTTAGAATAATTCGAGGAAATAAGTTTAAATGAAGTGCAGCAAAAATAAGCATAATTTAAAATGTTATGCGGTATCCATATCAAATTTCACTTTTCATAATGACAATAAAACTTTCCCAAATACAAATAAAGAAACTGTGTTGGTGTTGGTGTATTTAATTACGGCAAAGCACACTAGGGCTATCTGCCTAAAGGGGGGATGCCTTCGTGGAGGACTTTCTAAGGGAAATGGTTGATATACACTTTACACATGGCGAAAACCACGAAAACACCCATACAGCCAGCCCGTTCGCGGGATTCGAACCTCAGACCGAACTACCAGTGTTCAACGACGTTACCGCTCGACCGCTGATGGGCTAAAGAAACTGGATGACGGCATTAAAGATTAGATTTCGTTATTTGTCCGCTATTCGTTATTGCGTTTGCTACTTCTTCCCATTCCTTTCATCAGAACCGCTAATGACGAAAGGGTGAATTTCTAGTAAAGCATGTATATTAATGTTCATTATACATTTGTCACATTTTTGCTTTCTTTCAAAACAGCGATAATATTGTTTTATAAATTAATAAAATGGGCCCTATGTTATAAAAACCTAATTATATTCAGATACACACCTTTTGCATATGTTTTTGCATATCCATTATTCTAATCAGAATGTCTACAGAAAATATTTAATCAATATTAGAAATCAAAACCTAAGCAGTGGCGTAGCTAGGGGGGGCAAGGGGGTGACATCTGTTCCCGGGCGCAGCATTTAGGGGGCGCCAAATGGATGTTATGAAATTTTAGAATAAATTATTTTCATTTTTAAATGCAATAAAAATAAATTTAAAAAAATCGCATACAGTCTATCGCCCCATTATAATAAGGATATCTTTTTCCTACATTTTTTGTCATGTGATTAGCAAAGATTGAATAGAAAAGCTAGGTTTTCGACTTAAGGTTTTCGACTAGTAAGGTCAATGAAAGTCATCCTTCCCCACAAGTCCCTTTCCCATTCATCCCTAAGTAAACGGCGAGAAAATACTTCGAAGGTTATGTGATACTTTTAAGTTGTAAAGCTTTTGTCCTTTTACAGCTTTGAATAACCCTCCGTATGCGGTCCCATTTTCCCTGTAGCAATCAAGTTTAGCGTCGCGATTCTTTGAAAGTGGAGACACTAAAATAGCAAAAGCCCTTTCATTTTGAACCAAATATTTAAAATCACAATGATTAAGAGAATTAAGTATTCCAAAAAAGAAAAAAAAAGTAAGTTAGGGTATTTAATTTGACATTTATTAATTATTACACAAATATTGCACAAGAGAGGGGAAGAAGCTAAGTTAAACTTATCAAAAATATTAATTTATTTTATTTTATTATTATTATTTTTTATAATATAGAGAGAAAGCCAACTTCGCTGCGTTAAGTACAATGAATTTTACGCTATTAGTCATCTAGTAATTTAAATCCTCTGTTTAAAATTATTTAAGGGAGCAGGTGTTAAATATGCAGATGGTTTATATAGTTCATTAGTGGGTAGAATGTATAAGTCTGGTCAACGGTGCTGGTTCGATATTGTTTATAATATCAGCGAACGGGCTGACTGCATAAATACTTTTATTATTTTCCCTTATATGAAATTCAAATACAAGCCAGTTTCCCTTAGAAAGTCTTCCATAAAGCCATCCCTTCCATAGATGGATAACCTCCACTTGCTTTGCCGTACTCAGTTCAATAATAGCAAGCATATATAAAATGCTAATTATAGCGACATAAAGTTTGTATTTGTAAGATTACATACATCATCAACAGCAAGTCAAAACTACATATTAACGAAATCAGTTTTATGCAGAAAATAAGAATTTCTCTCGTAAATGCAGGAGAGAATAATAACTTCCCCTCATAAATTTTTGGTATGGGCTTGATTTTGCAAAAATCGATGTTCTACACCAGGCATTCCCAAATCCGTTCTTAGATCGATCCCTGTTAAAGGTTTCTTCATCTACCCACTTACATTTTTCTTTATAATATACAGTCTGCAACATAACAATAATAATAATTGCATATATGGCACTTAAAGATAATATTTATAACTAAGAACACAAACAAAAATTTAGATTTATGTTTTATTATGTTTTGTATAATTATTAAGTTTACAAATATAAAAAGTTTTCAGGAAAAAAATTACAGAATTTAATTTTTTTAAAAGTTCGATTTTAATCACTGCGCTTCATATATTGATGCACATGCACATTTTTAAATATGTAGCATAAAATTGCTTATGCCGTATTATTCCTTGTTTCCCGTAATAAGTTGACTAAAGCTCTCTTCACTTAAGCAAGAAGATGGAAAAATCAATGGTGCTGGGCAAGATAAAAGCTTTTATTTTGTGATACTTCTTTCGAATGACATTTATTCCAAGACTTAAAGTTATTATAATTATACTCCAAAATTCAACTTATACGCATGTATTTTGAATAAGTTTTGTCTTCCTGTGATATAGCATTATATGAATAGCTAATTAAATATCACTTTTATCAAATAAAGTTTCGTAATTAATGGGATCTTTATTGTGCCGACTAACTGCCCATGCAAATTCGGCTATCGACTTTCATTGTATTCCTTGATCATTATTTACCTCCTTTAAAATTTTATCGACAACCAGGGGGTCAATACCGACCCCGCCGAAAACCTTTCTTCTACACTATAATTCTAATACGTTTATCAAAAACAAATGCATTATACTTTTAATCATGCCCGATGAGTTAACCAAAAAAATTCGAAATCATCAATGAAAAATGTGGCACACGGGTATTGTTAGGAAATCATTCGTATTCGCATAGAAACCGCATCATTCGTATTCGAATAGCAACCGCATCATTCGTACTCGAATAAACCGCATCGTACGACAGATGCGAGTAACGAACAAATGCGAGTAACGAAATGAATTTGTGAGTACCGAATCGGTACTTCGAGTCAACCGATGTACCCGTTACGCGGTAACGAATACATGCGGTTTGCTCCAGCTCTAGTTTTAAGTTCGCGGTATGAGAGGTTCTAATAATGTTATGACTTGTGCATACAGTTTTTTAATCTGAAAAAAATTATACAACTATATATATATATGTGTGTGTGCTTAGCATTTGTGTTTAAGGTATGAATAGGTTCCTGAATATTTTCAAATAGAAATAAAATTGAAAATATAATTAAATAAATAAACTCTCTTTTGTGTCGGGTATAAATGCTACTTTATTGTTGATAATTATTTATTTTCTAACTTCTTGTATCATATTTGGTGTTTTTAGAACGGACATACGAGTGAAATTCTGAACTTGACATTCTGAACTATGCAATGCATAGTTCTATGCAGTTTTGGTATGCACTCTACCAGAACTGATGGTAATGTAATTTACAATATGAAGTGAATAGTTTCACAACGGCGAGTAGCTTAATTTTCTGCTATGCTATCTGCAGTGATTCTTTTAACAGCTTAAAATTTTATCTTAGATATCTGATTTAAAATAAATATTTCACTGTGGTCACACTGAATCTTGTGGAGCAATGAGATCATTTATACAAAATACTACTATGTTTAATAAGTGTATTATATATTAACACTTATTAAAATGAATTGATATAAAAGAGTTAATGATTTTCTTTTTTGAACTGTTTTATTCAAATATCTTCATTTTGTTTGAATTTCTTCAAGCTGTGGAAAAAATTCAAAATCTTGCTGTATGTCATGCTTGTTATGTAAATAATATTAGTAAACTGGCCATTTAAGAATTATATGCTGCAAAATATTTTCAGCTGTTCTTTCTAAATGCTCACTTGTTGCACAGAATTTGTAGCATTTATAGTAAACATAAATTTTACCATAAATTTTTCGGTTTTTATGATTTTCTTCTTGATTGTATAATTATAATGCGATATTAACTTTGTTCCTATGCTAACTTTGATATATTTATCACATTTGAACCGTACTGAACTTTATCAATTTTTTCTCTTTACAAAATGATTTATTAGAACTGTTTTCGTAGCTTCTCAGGTCCATAATTTTTTTCGGTACTATTCCGTTTTGAGGACCGTAAAAAAATTGCAGCGAAAATGTATGAGCAAAAGCGCCAAATCTAGTGAACGCGCCCATTGAACAGAGCACCAAATCTAGCGCACGAGCTGATTTCAGATTGCGTAAGTTTATATAGTTCTATATTTTTTAAGACGCCATACAAATTTTAGTTTAATTTTTAAATTCTTTTTTAATTTTAAATCCTTTTTTGATATCCTATGGATTTAACAATTTGGGAATTGCCCATGACGAAAAGTCGGCAATAGAATTTTGGGTAAAGTGCAGAATCACCCACTGCTTGACGCGTTTTTAAGAATTGCACGTACTCGGTATCCATGTGCACATCGACCTATTTTCACATAAAAATAATCCCAAAATTGCACAAAAATGGCACTGCGCACATCCTTGACTTTGTCTATGCACACATCGCCTATTTTCACTTAAAAAGTAAAAGAAAATTGACAAAAATCCAATTGTTTTTATCCTTGTAAAAAGCGGCAAACAAATAAGTGAGCGATTCCGCACTTTACCGAGAATATTTTCAAAGAAAAGGCATCATTCATTATAGAAAATTACATTTGAACAACCAATGAGATGAAATTATGCTTTAGCGATAAGTCGGTAGCGAAATAGCGATGCAGACATCCATTCAGTTATGCTTAGCAATTTTTTATATAAATTATAATATGATCTGAAATAGTTATTTTACTCTTTTGCTTCCATTCAGTCATGTTTTTAGCCTTTTCTATATAAATTATAATAATAAAAAAGTATTGTATGAAATTAACCTTTCATCTAAATTAAGACATCAATCTTAGATAGTTATTTACTATTATACTTCCTTTCTTGCATTAGGATTACCGGAATTATTTTTGGCAGCATTGGCATCAACAGTAGTTTGGCGATTTTTTACGGCCCTCAAAACCGAATAGTACCTTTTTTCAGTGTAAAAAGCATTCGTGTTTCCCTCTTTTCATATAAGTGCATTGCTGTATAAAATTTTGTTCATTAATAAATTCTGTTTCTTTATAATTTCTATATTAGTCGTATAGCCTCACCAATAGCTGACAAAGAATCATTTGATAGTTTGATCTAAACTGAAATCTGGCAAATGCACTGGTTAAATGGAAGTTTTCATAGTCCTATGTGTAATCACTCTGTTTTAAGAATGAGCATACCATAGATATTTGCGTTTGCTGTTAAGAATAGTAACATTTCTTGGGAACATATATTTTCGGTTAATCTTTGGAATATGGTAACTTGGCGATGTTTTGGCGAAAATTTGGCAACCAACCCTGCTACAGCAACCTGCTAGTTTTTGTTTGGACGCCATTTTGTTTTCACGAAGTAAAATCGTGTATTTTTTTTTTTTTTTTTAACTCAGCATTTTTTCTAACAATCTGCTAGCCAAATTATGCTTATATTAGAACTTTTATGGAACAAAAGTGCTTAATCATGACGAAGATTAGGTGCGAAATTGGAAGAACGTGCAGAATCGCAAACTGCTTGCCGCGTTTTTAAGAATTGCACATACACGGTATCATCCATGTACACGTCGACCTATTTTCACTTAAAAAAACATCCCAAAAGAAAACAAAGCTTAGTGTTTATTTTTTTACTTTTTTAAACATTTCTTTGAATGTAAATTATTTAAGTTGCTTCGTTTTTTGTGCTAATGCTTTCTCTTCAGTTCTATAGACAGACATAATCTCTTGTAACAGTTACAAAGTTTGGAACTTCTCTGATATGTGCCAAGTCGCCAAATTTCTTGCCAAACATTTTTGGTGAGAAACTCCACGCTGCCATATTACTATCTAAATTTTTTGTCTACATTTCAAACTTTAAGCCTAAAATGTCTCCAAAAACGTGATTTTCGCACATGCAAAAACTGCGTTTTGAACACAATTTAAGCTAAAAGTCCAAAACAAAAAATTTAGATAGCAAAAACGTGAAGTTTCTAACCAAAAATATTTGACAAGAATCCATGTACACAACGATATGTTTTAACTTAAAAAAAACATCTACGACTGGCACAATCTAGACAACAAATGAATCTACGAACTGCGCACACCTTGCTTTAATAAATTAACATAACAATAAATTTCAAAGAATACCATGTACACAGCATTCTGTTTCAACTGTAAAAAACATCTACGAATTGCACAGTCTAGACGCTACTCACTAATCAACAAAATAAACTAAAATAACTAAATATCAAACAATTCAAAAAAAAAAAATAAAAAAGACAAATTCATGCTAAAAAAATAATGAACATAACATTCTACAAAATGAGAATAAAATAAAATGCACTTACCATGAATTAATGCTTTTTTAACAGCAGAAATACCAATTTTATGCTGCCGCGTAGTCATTATCGTATTTATATAACAGCCAGACACACTATCCAGAAAATTCATACTATGGTTCACAAATCTCTACTTCTATCATGCACAACCACTAAAATTAATCTCCCAGACTCTCTTTCCACACCTCCAAATACCCACTGCCCCTCAACGGCATGGCCATGATGATATTTCCTTTTTCCGAAATTCAATTCAACAACTTCCACCGTTTTATTTTTTATCCCATTTTCTCAGACACAGAGCATGACACGAACCAACGAGCTTCAGCGAAAGATTTTTTAATGTCAATAGGGTTACCATACAACACGCAATTGTGCCAAAAGCCAGCACAGAACACATATCGCCACATCTGGTGAAATTAGGGTGTATGTCAGAGTTTTACCCAAAGTTCCACTGTTCAAGTCTTGTAGTTGCTATTTTGAGAATTTCAACTAACTTGTCAATCGAAATTTTTTCCTTTTCAATAACCTCTCTGTCACTTTTTTCACTATCGGTAGTATTTTCTGGATTTAGAACTATACTACAGATTTTTCTATCCGTTAATTGATTGATGACGCCATTGTCATCACAATGAAAAACTTTGTTATATCATCTTCATTTATTGCCGCTTCTTCACATTTCTTAACAAAATCCATTAACTGGAAAATTTCGCCTGTAGTTTGTGATATCCGAAAGCTGTCACATTCACAGTTATCATCTTCATCATCCTCACCATGAAATATGATAGCTTTTGGCCATAAGTTATGCCAAGTACTTTTTAAAGTATCTTGAGGCACATCCTCCCATGATCTTGTGATGCTTTACACACCAGACTTTATGCTAAAATATTTAAAAAATACCTAAATAGTCTTGCCATTATTCAAGAAATTTAACATGGATTTTAAAAATACAACTTTATATTTTCACTTCAGCGTGCGCACTATTCCGATATCCATAGGCTGAATGATGGCATACAGTTTAGATGAAAGAATAACATGGATATATTATCTTTCAATAAAATTATAAATGAAGTATAGAGCCGAACAGTTGTCTACAATAGGGACAAATTTTGCGTCATCAGGTTAAGCAACCGAATTCAGATTTTGCCAAGCTCGGATATGAAATGGTTTTCAAACCAATCATTACATCAATGCTTGTGTCCATCCACTGCTCTTTTATTTGCGCGATATATAACGGGGAAAATCATTACTCCTTTAAATGCTCGAGTCGCGCATGTTTTCCGATTACGAAAAGTTTGCACTTATGCATTCTGCAGAATTTGCACGCTGCTAAAATTTTTAGTCTCGCTTTGGAATTCTTTGATACCAGTTGGAGCCTTTTCTGTAGAGGTTGCCAAGATGTGTGGTACATATTGCCAAAAAAAAGACCAGTTTCATCATCGTTGTAAATTTGTCCTGGAGATAATTGTTCACTATTAATGAATTCATCTGCAAATAATTCAGCAGCTTCAGTACAGTCAAAAGTCGTTAATTCGGACACCCATAATCCGGAATGATCTATAATCCGGACCTCAAAGCTAAAAACTTTCTGCGCATGCGCCGCGTTGGACACATGCGCACAGGCGTTTACGCGTGCGCGTAAGACCTTTACTACTGCGCATATGCGTGTGCGCAAGTGCAGAATACGTTTTCGCCTGCGTTTAATGTATAACGGACGGTGTAAGCTAAAATTATCTAATTATCTATTTCAGTTAATGTTGATGATTGCGTTGTTCCTTAATCT